GTTTATGTTCCTGTCCCTGCATTACTGTAGAGAAGCTTGTCATTTTTTCTCATGGTCTTGTTCAGCGCCTGTATCTTTGCTTCCCTTACCGGCAATGAGGATATCATCTGCATTATTTTCACCCAAGGCAGTCCTGCCAGAACTTAGGTCTGTGTTCTCTGGAACACCACTGGTGCTGGGCTTGTGCCCATTGGCATGTGCAGCCATGTGTAGTGACCAAACGGTGCTGCAAAGGTCATCAGCAGGCTGGACAATTTGTACAGGTTTATGTGCCAAAACCAATTCCTCCTATCACGGACCATAAAGATTCTGGCTTTGGAGAGTTCTGCCAAGATGGTATCAGTTGGGGGCAGTGGATAGTGGTGTCTTTTCAGTGACTTTGAGTCTACGGGGATGTCTAATTCTCCTGATAGCTTGTTTACCACCATCATCCTGCCTACCCATGCATTACTGGCCTCTACAGGTGCTCTGATACCCCAACTCTGCAGACTTTCAAGGTCCTTGCATACTGGATTATATAGTGCTACTGGAATTTTCCTTCATGTTAAGCACACAGAGTCCACTGTGGGGTCTACTTCCCATTGTAGCTTTCCTTAGAGGCACTTGTCACATCTGAAAACATCCCCATATGCTTTTAAAATTGTCTCTGGGGTTCCCATCCTGCTTCTTGCACTACAGCTATAAAATTCTGATGCTGCCCCCTGATCAGATCTATGGCTTGTATTGTATTTCCCAAGAGGAGTCTGTGGTACACCTCTACCCCGATATAACACTGCCCTCGGGAGCCAAAAAATCTTACTGTGTTATAGGTGAAACCATGTTATATCGAACTTGCTTTGATCCGCCGGAGTCGCAACCCTGCCCCCACCCCAGAGCACTGCTTTACTGCATTATATTCGAATTTGTGTTATATCGGGTCACGATATATCAGGGTAGAGGTATACTTACCATCCACCACCACAAATTTCACTTGATATTGTCTTATTGTTGGGGTTAGTCACTATGAGGTCACATTTTCCTACAGGCTGCCTAATGCCCTCGTTGTACATTAGATTGCTCCTGTTCTTTGTAATGGGTGTATTCAAGTCCAATTCACCTCCACGAATCACATTGCAGGTGACCCTGCTGTACAGTTGAAATCGAACAGAGAATTTCCCTATTAACCTAGCTGCATGCATGGAGTTTGGTATTGTCCCTTGTTGCTTTTCTGTCCCAACAGCCTGAATCTAATAGGCTCAAAGACTGATGGAGAGAGTCATGATATTTTCACTCATGTGTGATGTGCCCTTCCCCCTCTCGTGCAAGCCTAACAATCTTTCTGAGATCTTTCTGTGCTCTTGCATACATTGCTAAAATGGTTCAACTTGCTACATTCCTTGCAATGCTGTCCTAGTGCAAGACACATCTCTTTTACCTGCTCATGCTGTCTCCCATACTAAACACATCTCACTATGGGCATGAAACACTGCCATTTACACAACTTTGCTGTCTCAAGCAGGTATTTCTGGGGTTGTTGTGTCTCCTGGGGCTTTCATCCTAGGGGCTTCTTCTTCATGCCCAAAGCATCTGTCTAATGCGAGATCGCCTTCCCAGAGCAGCAGCTTCCACAGGTGGTGATCCCAAGTGCTACAGATTTCCTAATTAGGGCCAGGGTAGTCTGTCAATTCCCCAAGATTGCATGTAGCAGTCTGAGTGCATAAAATGGTAACTTCAGTTTCTAGTGAAAAACCTGTGTCGCTTCACAATTTCATTCTGCTTCAGGAACCAATAGGTTCCCAGGGCTCTTAGGACTACTGTGAGGCTTAAGACAGTGGTGAGCTTCAGAAAGGGTGTCAATCTCTCTTCTTTGTTCCCCTATAAGGTAAAATATCTGTTTTACTTTCCGGCTGCTTGTTGTCCTCCTGCATGGATAGGTCTGTGTACAGCTCTAACTCCTCCTTCCACTGGGTCCATCACTAGACTAGGTCTGTGTCTGCAAAATCCTAGAACAAAGGCCCTTAGCGATCAGTCTTTTTCATTAAAGAACCATGAACAGATGCACTCTCTTAAAAACTAAGTTGCTTCCTAGAATAAAACTACGGCTAAAATATTACCTATCCAATTAAAGTTTGATCTAGTTAATATTGCAGCTTTTATTTCTTCAGATTTCACATTGTCTAATATTTTTAAATCTAACGCTTAGATATGTCTCTAATGAGCTTTTTAAACATATGATGCATACAGTAAATTTTTGAGTAAATCTATTTAAGGTAGGCTTCGTAACGCAGAAAGGCAAGTAAAATATAGGTACCGTACGTGTTCAGCACTATAATATTCTCAGCATGTATAGAGGTAACAGCTGAGCTATAATACTTTGACAGCCTTCTGTTTCAAGTAAAAATAAGAATCTAGGTCTTCCATAAAAAATTCTCCCACACAACAAGTAAAATACTTCCACAGGGAATTCTGATTATTATTTTTCTTTCACCGATATGCAACTTTTTAATGACTCTCTTTACATAGAGTGCTCATAAATCAGGAATTCTTCAACTCATGAAAAATTCATCAGTGCTTTAAAAAGTATTTTAATACAATGTAACAGTGATGAGGACTACGAGTACACTGCAAAGTTCCTTCAGGTATTTATAAAAGCTGGTTCATTACACATGAAAAACATTATATACATTTCTCTCCATAACTTCTTCAATATTTAACTTTTTTTAAAGGAAGCACTGCAAATAAAGATGTGATTTTATGGAGGTGCAGTAGAAAGCATAAGCTATTACATATAGGCTTAATCCTACATATTAGTATTTGACGTAAGTATATTCCTTTCTTCCTTTGCATCGCCTTTGAGGAAGATCGCTGCCGGTGTCTACAAGAGGCACGCGAATGACGTCACAGAGCATCAGCAGCGCACAATCCACTGACCGCGAACTTCCCATGCACCATCTGCAGCAAAATGTGCACCTCTAGAATTGGCTTGTACAGTCACCAGAGGGCACACCATGAGACCAACAATAGATGACCTGCACAGATTTGTCATCATTGGATTCGATGGACTACCAAGAAAGAAGAAATTCCTTTCTTCCATAACTTCCCCTTGCTGTAGGAGAGAGACCATACGGTGTACATGAAAAGATACATAATACTGCGACTCACATTTTCAGACCTACATGCCTGAAGTTCAGCACTTGAACTCACGTATAGTCTGCTAAACAAGTGCTCTTGTTTCAGTGATGCTGAGCAGCAGCACACCCAGTGACATTAGAGAAGGCTGGGCGCTCAGCATTTCTGAAATCAGACCAAGTTTGGAAATTTGGCCTAAGCATCAAGATATGGCTGGAGCTCAGTGAGGTATTGGACCCCTCTGGCAGTCTCTGCTGTGCCAGCTACTGCATTCAAATCTCACATCACATGCTCTGGGAATTTCTAGGTAAAGAGTGTCGCAGAATGCATTGCATCCCACTGACTTCACAGAAAAGCTAGAACACCTGCTGCTTGAAGAGAGACAAAACACCTTAGCAGAGAAGGAAATTTGAAGACATCCCACTTATCTGAAAGCTAAGGAGAAATCCACTTAACCTGTCTGACTGTGACACTAGATTTTGTGGGATACTTTTCTCAGGCTACATTGTCTGGGGTTAATAATTTGATGATTTTCAATCAGTCCATAATTTTCTATGCCTTGGGACATGCAGGCGCTACCCGGGAATGAAAATGTAATGTTGGCACCCAGTGGATGAACCCCTAAAAAAGGGGGCTAATAATGATTGCAACAAAAAGAAATGTAAGTATGTTGAATGAGAACACCAATAGAAGAAGCAGATACAGTGTTAAACACCGGCTTAACATGCAGATGTTCTCTTAACATGCCAAACAAGCTCCCCAGACCTCCAGTCTCTGGTGCTGCTCTTTCATTTACTATTAACAAGAGAAGGTCATGCTGGGTTTACTAGGAAATCCTTACAGGTTGGTCCTAATCTTGGGTTTAGTGCACTCACTGATCCTGATCTAATCTGCACGTGTTCTGACCCCACTAACAATTAGCTTTCCCCTTGGAGCCTGGATGGACTCACTGCTTTTGTCACTCTCTCTCACACACTCACAATCAGTCTCTGGCCTCTTTTCATTAGGCAAGCTACCTTTCGCTTTACAAGCACTTAATCCACTTAACAGTGGCCCTTGCTCTAATTAGGCTCTTCTCATCACTAGATCCCTTTAAAGAAACTCCCTTGGGAAAAAAATAAACAGACTTCCTTCTTCCCTTTTCCTCAGCTTGTTTCATCTAGCTAGGTACTTTTCCTTTCCTTCTTTCTTTTGCCATGATAATAATAGCTCCTTCTCCCCTGTTCTGTTAGTAAGAGTGGAAGTAAGAAAGAAAACTTCAGTCTCACCTCTCTGTCCCTAGCCCATTCACTCCAAACTTCCCCCTTCTCTGCAGTGCAGAGCAGCATAGAACATTTGAGCCATGTCCCTATTAGATACTTATTTGTACTGTTTTGTTGCCAAGGGAACCTGCCTCGTCCATGGGTACGTATCGTTTGCAATGAAAGGAACATTGCTTTGAGTTGGTGCTAAAAGACCTTTTTGCCAACAGCAGTGCTCTAAGATGTCTGCATTACAGGCTATGAGCCCATGTACCACAAAATACTTCATAATTTGGAATGATCAGCAGCATCTGCTCTCAAGAGTGGAACAGTAGAGGTGTGGAGGTCAAAACTAAAGTGCCGGATCATGTGGGAAAATTCCAAAGTTTTTGCCTATGGTGTTCTTAGCTCCAGTCTTTCACCTTCACAAGCATTAACATTTCCTACCCTACCACCAGATCCCTCCCTTCCCCCACCACCAACACTCAGTCCATTTCTTGCCAGCTCAGCAGTTTTCAAAGGAGCTGAATTTATCCTGTTTATCCTCTTTCTGTATATTGTGCAAGGATTATTATTATTTTTATTCACAGCTGTGTTAGAACCCCCAGAAGGAAAATACATATGCAGATTTATCCATAACATGTTGGAGATTTTTAATCATAAGATTTCATCCTTACATAAATATCAGAGTTAATACATCCAGTTATAGAGAGATGAAACCCCCTAACTCATCCCTAATCAGTGGTGTTCATAGTACTGCTTATGTTCCATCTGTATTATTTAAAGTTCTGATCCATGGCTTTAATATTTGCATCAGATTTTCTGAAAATGTTTAGGTGTTTCTTTCACGACTCAATGCTCTTTGCTTATTCTTGCTTGGATTATCTTCTTTCCCAGAGTCATCACCTCTTATCAGCTTCCAACCTCCCCTTCTCTTTTACTAGAATTTACTAGTACCACAGTGATGTGTCCAGGTTCCCTGTAAATTCACCGGAGGCTTGTGCAGTCGTTCATGAAATAAACCCTTTATCAAGGGCAATACAAAATGGTTTAATACACAATTCTTTATTGCAATAAAAATCATTACTGAAATATTTAGGAGCTTTCCTAACCTCTAATAAGATGTGTTGACAAGTATGATGGTATCCAGGGATGGTGATGTTGATTTGCTCTAGGTTATGGTCAAAGGTTTATGTGCTGTTTAGAGAGGATTTTGAGTTACAGTTCTCTTGCAGCCATTCCTTCCAGACAGCCACGTTTCAGTGTTAGGGGCTGAGTGGGGGTGTAATAAAGGGGAAGGAAACAGTGAAAAAGCAGTGGTGCTCCCAGAACTGCATGTGTCAATTGGGAGTCTTTCCATTGACTTAAAAAGAACTGGATCTGGCCAAGTGAGCAATGTGCAGGTGAAAGGAAGCAGTGCCAAGAGGAATAGAAGCATGGTCAAGTGGCATGAGATACAGTATGAAGGATTGACTGTGGAGGAGACAGAGGGATGAAAGGAAGGTGGATGACTGAGACCCATAGATAGAGGTTGTAATACATTCATGGTTTCATACATTCAGACAGCATGGTCGTCAGGGAAACTGTACACTAGGGAGAGAACCCAGGATCCTGAACTCCAAGATTTCCATGGCTTTAGTTAAGGATGGATCTCCTTTAGCAGTAGTAATAGTATGCTTGTAGACTATGTGGGCCAACCTGCACAATGCAACATGATCACGCACAAATGAACAAGTATGACTTTCCGCCCAACATAAGGCAATGGCGCACACACAAATGTACACACACTAGCTGGTACAGAGCATGCAACCCCAGCCAGGCAAAGATTATTCTCAATTGCCTGGGGTTCATAGGAGGTCAAGTCCAATAGCCAGGTAGACTCCATTCTATAAATATATAATGTACATATACAGACCTAATGGTAACCAGTAAATCTGAATTCATATAGCATTGGGACAGAACCCAACAATTTTTTTTTTTTAGGACTCACATAGCAAGTTGTCTGAAGATCTTAAATCTTACACACATTAATTAATTAAACTCCACAAATCCAATTTATTACAACTAATGTCATACTGTATCACCTGCTGTTAGAATGAATGGTGTATGTTTTCACTATTATTTCTTAAGGGAAAGGGAAAAAATACTAATTAGAGATATCTTTAAAATCCCAGAAAAGGCAAAGAAGGGTTGGCAATTCGCCCTAAATGTACTGATGGTCAGTGCATTTTTTTTTTTTTTACATCTTCTACAAAAGAAAGAGAGAGAGAGACTCGTAAATACTAGATTTTCTCTGGAGACATTCTTCTGGGGTAATTAAAGTCAATGAGAAAAGGCCCCCTATAAATTGAAGTTCATATTCTGTACATACTTGTGCTCACTTTGAGTAGTACCTTACTCCTTGAACATCCCCATTGAAATCAATGGCACAGATGGCCAATGAAGTTATTAATAAAAGTAAGTAAGGGTATCAGAGTATGACCCAATAGTGGTATTTTAGTAGTTCTAGAAGGATATTTAAAGGCCTCTTGCGTTTGTTAAAAATGTTGCCAGATAAGGAGTAAGAGTCTGCGTGGAAGAGAAATTCTAGCCTAGTCTGCCACAAACATGTCCTGAGATGTCAAGCTGAACATCAAAAAAAATCATATTTATATATCCATTTTCAAGAACTTTTCCAAGGTCATAAATTACAGACTTAGGTCTGGGGAGAACAGTTGATGAAGTATGCCAAAATGCTGTGAGCCAGATGGGTAAAACCCAGGTGCTGCACTATGTTAAGTTTTGTAATATCTTCAGTAATAGATAGATATGACTGAACACTACTTTGTTTAAGACATACAGTGCAACAGTTCAATGCCCTTCTTCAGCATCTACTGGTGTTCTCTGTATGAGACTATAGCATGTGAATAAATTCTCCAAAATTCTGTTACGTACCAGGTGATTTCACATATGAGGTACTAAATTAGGGTGAAATCCTTCCCTTACTACTCAGAGTAACAAGGCAAGCAGAAATGGAGAAGTGGCGGCCAAGAGGTAGGTATTTTTAGATTATAGACTCTCGTAAGGGACTGCATTTTCTTTATATTCGTACAGCACATAGCACAATAGGGCCCTGACCTGCTCAGCCTCTAGGTGCCATATAGGTTAAATAATAATGAAAAAAGATACTTGTTCCAATTTCAGGATACAGACCCTCCAAAACCCCCGCTTTTAAATTTTTCATTTTCTTATAACAAATTTTTGCATGTAGTACTACTGCTTAATTCCTGTCTTTCTGTATATCCCTCAGAAAAATGCCAAAAATATTGCTTTCGAGACTCCCAGGGTCAAATTCTCGATGTTGACCTTGAATAATGTCAGTCATTCTTAGTATGCAGACCTAGTAGTTGCTAACAGAAGCACCGGAAATGTGTTCAGAATACATGCAATAAAGAACAGCTTCAGTATTTGACAGCCCTTATAGTCAAGGCTGGCCATGTTTTTCCTCTCAAAAACAAGGGAGCCTCATAATTTTGAGTGTTTCTCTGATGCTTTAAATAAAAGTTTCCAGGTATAGTAAATGCACCAAACGTGGCACATATTTGAATTTGACATCTTACATTGCTCTTAAAACAGGAGCTCCTTTCTGGGTTGCTGCCAAACCAAGGGAAAGAGGAGACCTTCGAAACTTGTATGTTCTAGAAGAATTTATAATATGGTGGCTGCTCTTTAATCTTTATAACAGCTATTTAAAATAATCCCACAACAAGAGAATGTTACGTTTGCATCTTGATGAGTACAAAAGTCAGCAAATGAGAATGTTAATTCTTCCCACGGTACCTATGGATTAGGATACGCTCTAATTCCATGATCATGTACAGTTTATCAAATAAAGTAATATGATATACAATGTTTCTAAATCCTCAAATATGCATATGTAGCATACGGTACTGCTGTGTACTGCTCACTCCTTTTGCCAGTGGCAAGATACCCTGCACAAATGGATGTGCACTTCAGTATAATACTCTGTGCTTTCCAACTTGGCTGGCTAGGCATGACACTTAGGAGCCTAAGGGTGGAATTTTCCAATGTGCCTAAGTCACTTTTGAAGATTATATCCTAAAACTTCATCACCACGAGAAAAATCTGAATTTGAGTCTGACTGCAAATGTACCGGCATATCTGTACCTCTTGCTGTTTGAGAATATAGCTTTTGGAAACAAATCTACTTTAAATCTTCAATAAATCAATACAGACTTGGGATTTGTGTTAGTATCAGTACAGCATGAACTGTCAAAAAGACTTAGAAGTGACAGCCTAAAAGATTAACTGCTTTGCAAATAAATAACCTCCCTCTGAGACTATTGAGCTGCCTACGTTTGATTCACCATAAGCGTTCAGAGTCATTCGCTAGTTTGAGAGAGTGCTACCATTTATATGCAATATTCTGCTTTTAATTATTTTCTCAAATCAATTAAACAAGAGCAAAGCAAGAGGTTACATTTCCAGTTGGTTGGCGCATGGGGTTTTCTCAACTTAAGAAGGACAGATGATTCCGGACCCTGTGGAGAAGAGTTGAAAGGATTACAATTTGTACAGAGTGCCTTTCTACCGGAATATCTATTTCCTCTCTTGTAATTCAGTTCCCTTTTTAAGGCTGTCGTTCTTGCTTCAATTCTGAATGGGTGGAATTCACACCTGGGCAAAGGGGCAGCACAAGGTCTATGTGGCACTTAAACCTCATTTAACCCATTTCTACCATTATGTCTCCCAGAAGTTAGCCAACAACCTAATGCCTTAGGGCTTAAGTGAAATTTAAATGGTGCATTGACCTTGTGCTGCACAGGAGTAAAATTCACCCTCTCAGAATTCAAGCAGAGCCTTGAAAATCCATATAGTTTAAGTGGAACGTAAATGGTACATAGGCCTTGTGTGGGTGTGAATTTCACCCAGAACGAGTAGGAACTCATAGTGCTAAAGGAATTGATGGCAGCTTCCCAAAAATCTTCAAAGGGAACTATGTTGTGTACTTCTCTGAATACAGAATAAATTATGTACCAAGGAAAATAAATTACTTAAAACCAACAATAATTATAACATTCACTGACCTGAACTAAACTGAGATTTGTCTTTTTTTATGTTCTGAAACAAAGGGAGGACAAATAGGTGAAGTCACATCAAGCTCATTCGGGGGGGTGGGAAGGAAGAATTATTAATCCATTTTCTCAGTAGGGGGCGGATGCAGTAATTTTGAGTTCTTCACGCATCCTGAACCTGTTGACAATTACTTTCTCAGCTCAGCTACCTCTACATGCACCAAACACACCTGGTTTGAGAATTAAACCAATAAACCACTAAGGAGAGGATATGATAGACTTTTATAAATCCTTTAAAAATCTTATTTTTCTCAACCTGAAGGTAGTCATTTTGCACCCCACTGTTTTAATTCCTAAAGCTTATTTATAACTATTTTATGTTATCCTAATCTGTCCCTCCTGTGCTGTGGCAACAGGAGGTATATATAGAAAACTTAATGAACAATTTGCAACAAATTGTAAATGCAGTGGATTTAAGGTGTCACATATAGTATTGATACAGCCTAATCTGCTTCACAGTAGTTAGGTTTGTATTTTTGGATGTTTGCACAGTAATCAGTTCAGATGAAATTCACCCCTGTGCAGAACCTCCTTAAGTCCACATCAGCCCTATGCACCATTAACCCTCCTGTGGGACTTGATGGGATGAAATTCACCCCATGCAGAATGCCCATAAAATCACATATAAGCCCTATTTTAAGGACTTATGTGGCCTTTGCTTCATATACCCAGGGCAGGTCCTCTGCAGAGGAGTAAATTTCCCCCTTAGTACATGACAAAATATGTCTAGCTCTTTTCAGGTGTTGAAGAGGGATCAAGGAGGAAGTAAACTGAAAAAGATTGAAAGAAGAGATAACGAAAATTAATTGTTTTTCGTTCTGTCAGTACATTTGCAATAGCTGAGCTACTTTTACTCCTGAACATGTAATTGATATACAAATTTACAGATTACTAGAACTGGAAAGATCATTGCAACATGATGATTTGTACCATAATTGTATACACATAGTGTCAGTAAAATAAAAATACAGATGCAATATTTAACTTGAATCTGAATAGCTTGTTTCTCCATACTGCACATAACAGGAATGAAATACATTAGGCCATCTCATAAGCCTGGGTCAATGGAGTAATACCGATTAGCACCAGGTGTTCCATCCTGCAAAATGCTGAACACTCTGACCTTGCTCAAGCAAAGCACTTAGGGGTGGATTCATCTCGAATGATACTCCATCTACTGCAGAGCAGTTACATCATGAATGAATTTGGTCCCTAAGCATGTGCTTACTTTTAGGCATGTGAGTAGTTCCACTGCAAGTCAATGGAACTACTCAGGGTCTTAAAGTTAAGCATGTGCTTAATTGCTTTGCTGAATCAGAGTTAGAATGTTCAGCACTTTGAAAGACTAAGCTCCAACTTTGAATCTGGCACAATAAATGCAAAAAAAAAAAAAAACCAACCCTGTTGTAAATGCAACATTAAGGTTGCATAGCTAGACCTTGATCCTAGATGCAGGACTGGGCACTTGAAATTCAAAAAGAGCCTGATCCAAAATCCACTAAACTCAAGAGGCAGGCTCCCTGTGATTTCAATGGGTTTGGATCAGTACCTAAGTCAGGAAATTGAAAAATGCAGGATCCAACAGCAATGTTCGCTTCCTGTATGTTGTATTTTACCTTTTGGGTGGACTCAATCCTTTTTGTAGGGAGTACTTAATCCCCACTTAAACTCAAGCAAAGGGGCAATCTTCCCCACACAACAGCCAGAAGAAGCCAGCACTGATGTTGTGGGATCTGCAATAGGGGAGAACAGAATCCTTCACTCCACCAGGCAGTGGAGCAACTCCAGGTTCACAACTGCTGAAGCAGCAGCAGCCGCCACCAATGCACTCACATTGGGGTGGTGAAGTGGGACAGTGGCTACTGAATCCCTGTAGCCAAAAAAAACCATCTTGTGAGCTGGAGCAAGTCCCCACAAAAATTTCCTCCAAATCTCCTGTACAGGGTAGAGACTCCCTGTGTAGCATCTCCAGATCCTTCACTCTCTTGTGTGCACTGGAACAGCAACTGTTTCAATCTGTCTGGGTTCTGCTGGAGCAATGGGGAAAAGAATACAGTTTTCCCATAACTGCTTAAATCAGGCTTAAGTCATGCACAGGGCCCTTTAAGGTGTGCTCTGTGCAACACCAAATTCCCTTAATACAGGGCCCAGTTTTGCAGTCTTTCTGCACCCAAAACCTCAGCTAATTTAAATGGGAATTTGGGGTGTACAAGAAATGCAAAGAGACACACGATTAAGCTCAATATTTAACAAGAAAACAGGAACAGAACAGAACACCTCAGACATACAAATAAAAGTTGAAGCTGCCTTTGAAATTTTAACTTTGCATTTCCTGAGTTTTTGTAATTTCCACTATAGATGTGTAACCTCTATCAAGTGGGGTCGGCAGCAACAAGGGCTAGATTCAATATTTAGGGGGTTCCTCTTAACAATACAAAACAGAAACCGCTCGAGCCCCCACCCAGTCATCTGGAAAAAACTTACCACCACCACTGGGTGCCTCTAAGAGGCAATTCTTCCCCTCCACAAGCACTGAGTCTAGGAATAATAAAACAGAACTTTTTTATTAAAGGGAAAGGGAACTAATTATTAGTTTGGGAAAACACCACAACCACATTCGAAAGCATGCAGCCATTACCAAAACCTCACCCCACAGTGCATTGGGCAGTGTCCTTTGCCTCAGTTTCCCACCTTGTGGTGGGAAAGTTCAACGAACAAATGTCCCTTTAACACAACACTCCCCTCTCCCTCTGCTGCACCCCATTCACAGCTGGCTGTCCTTGGTTAGTGAAGACCCAGAGTTCGCACATGTGTTCACAGGGGGTCACTTCCCGTCCCAGAAACAGTGGGGGGAGAAATCAAGCATTGACCCTGTGGTCCCTGTGCACTTCCACAACTGGCTGTTTGCTGCTGCTGCTGCCGCCGCCGCCTCCGGTGCTTGTCTCTTCTACTGCTGGTCATATGCTGCCGCTGCTTTTCTCTGCTGCCACTGGTCATATGCTATCACTCTTGGACGCTCACTGCCACTTCTGGGATGCCATGGTCTGAAGTTCCACTGCTTAACCCAGGTCCTTAATGATTTCACTGGGTAGCAGGGACCCTCACTCAGGGCCACTCAGAGGGGGGGCAAGTGGGGCAATTTGCCCCAGGCCCCACAGGGGCCCCCACCAGAATGTTGGAGGCTCCCCCCCACTTCCCCCTCCACCTCCACCTTCCCCCATCCCCTGGCATCTCAGCGCGCCGCATCCAGGAGGGGCCCTGGACAGCGCTGCAATGGCGTGGCCTGAGCTCCTCCCGCTCAGAGCCACATGGTAAGGGGGCGGGGCTGCGAACTCTGGCGGGCCGAGTGGCAGGAGCTCCTGAACGCGGCTCGCTGAGGCTCTGGGAGAGGGGGGAGGTGGGGATAAGCGGCATGGTAAGCCCCTCGGAGCCGGGCACCCCCGACACCATCCCCCCCTAGCTCTGACCCCCAGCTCTGAGCCCAGCCCCTCTGAGCTGGGCACCCCCCGACCCCATCCCCCGCCGCCCTAACCCCCAGCTCCGATCCCAGCTCCTCTGAGCCGGACACTCCCCCAACCCTATTCCCCCCCCCCCATCCCTGACCCCCAGCTCCAAGCCCAGC